TTCCCCTTGCACTGAGTGACTACTACTAACAAAATGCAATTATTTTTAAAAAGGATGTAGGGACACACGCGAGCGTAGCAGTTTCCAGGGGACGGTATGCTCCGATCAGGCACGTAGGTGCTTTATCTAGTAGACCGTAAGTGCCATATCGACGATGGGGACGACATGGGGCTGAATGGCCCCGTTTAATATTTTCGCTATCGCGTTGCCGGGAGCGACGTGCTATAAATTGTTTATAATAGAGTTGATAATTGATGCCCTCATTCGGTACTTATTTGATTTTGTGAAACGTGATTAATATTTCTCATAATATATGTCAAATCTCGAAAAGAAATGGTTCCTAGTCTACGATAATATCTTTTACTTATTGTTAGATAAATGTTCAGTATTTTTAATTTAAATTGATTGGAAACATAATATAGGAATAAAAATTCTCGAAAATTTTTGGAGTTTATTAAGTGTACTTATTAAAACGATGTACATTTAATAATTAATACAAGAATTAATAGAAGCAGATAACGAGATTAGAGACACCGGCGCCACAAAGGTGATCTTCTTCCAATTCGACGCAATTGAATCGATCTGCAAGAAGAAACTCCCCTGATATCGTGAGGGAGGAGTCGAATTTGGCGCAGACGCGGCTTCGGCGAAAAGCATACTCTTGTGTACACGAATCTTGCTAATAATTCCGCCAGTACATTCGCGAAGTTTGCCAGACGCGTTTCATTCTGTTTCATCGCACTCCAACAATTTTATTCTGTGCCTTTACTGCAGATTTTGAAAAATAAATTTGAATAATTATTATCATAAGAATGCATCTTTGTTAAATTTTCCCGAGTTTGTTGCACTGCCAATATAAAAAAAATTGCAATAAAGTGATTGCAGGTAAAGTTTATAGAATTATTCAGAAGAGGAAGGTAGTGACTCTGCAATGCCAAGACCAAGATGAGAGTCGACAAGAAGAAGGACCCAAAGGCACGACTAACGTTATACCAATGTCAAAGACAACGAGAAGAAGTTTTGAAGCACTATTTCATTAATTGCCATCGATGAATCAAAAATTTACTTCTCATTTTTGTAAACGTAAGTGCAGCTTACTTAAAAAAAAAAACAAACAAAGAAAAACTTAGAATTTTTATTCCAAGACGATAATTCTCCCTTACTTAAAAAGAAATATGTTAAGAAATACTCTTGAATTATATTCGTGATATTTTTATGACAATTTGATATATATTCGCAAATTTTAATATACATACAATATATACTGGCCTAATTTGCCTACAAATGCTAATCTGTTGCTCGGCGACGATTCGCTGAAGATTATACCAGCTGACCATCGATGATCCGCGAGACTATGGATTCGAAACATAGAAACGCCTGAAAGTTTATGCTCGGATGAAAGAGTTTATCGTCTCGGCTGGCGAAAATAGATCTCTCAGTTCCTCTCTTCGATGCTCGGTTCGTCGTCGGAAGAAAAAAAGAGATGATGGATCCAACAGGCTTATACGCGCAAATGACGTAGATCGTTTGCGCGTAAAATTCGCGCCTCCGGGATGGCAAAATGCATGTGTCAGCTGTTAAACGGGCTTTGCAAAAGAGAAATTGAGAGAGAAAACATAAATAAAATAAAATAAATGCATTTGCGCATATATCTTTAAATCATCTATCAAATCTTTTCAAAAATAAAGATGTGTAATTAAATAAACAATTCGCGTGACTTGATTTTTACGAAAGGAACAAAAGCGCTTAATTATACTACAACGATAATTCTTGATTATACTTATAATGAAAAGATATCATCTCCCAGATTTTTTTTTTTTTTTTGCAGAGTCTACATACGATAGATAAAATAAAAACCTATATGAAACATCTCGGTATTATATTATTATCGAAATTATTATTTTACAAATTGCGAAATGTGAATTGTCATGATTCTATCTATCTACGGCCCTGACGACTACTGGCATTCACAGACGTACTCGGCGAGAGTTCGGCTTTCTTTCAGATGCTAGAGTATTGGTGGATGGCGAACAACGAAACTGGACGCAATGGTAGCGACGACGTGGCGATCGAAGAGGTGCTGCAGAATCCAGGATTAGTGATCCTCTTTGTCGGCTATCCACGGTGGCTATTGTACTTCGCTGCCACCTGTTGTATTATCTTCATGCTAATCGGCATCCCGGGAAATCTCATTACGGTGATCGCATTATTTCGCACCAAAAAGGTCTGTAATTATAGCTATAGTATTCTAACACCATGTGATAATAATTAATAGGATAATGTTAAAAAAAGGAAATAAAAAAAAATTATTTAAAAGCAATTCAAACTGAAAGTTGATTGATTAGTCAATATAATTTTAAAATGATTTCGATGTTGGTATCAAGATGATTTTGATAAAAAGATAATGATATAAATTAATAGAAAATAGATAATCCGAAATGCCTGTCTATATCAAACACATAATAATAGAAAATTTAATAGAAAATCTGTAAAAATTATTTCGCGTTACCCATGATTTTCGTGACTTACACGGAAAGGGACTTAGTATACCACAATGAATTCGTGTTGTACTCAAGACGTACACCAGTTATTTGAGTTTCCGGTACTGCTTACGCACAGAAATCTTAAAAGCCATCCGAGTGATTTACCTCGAGTCTCATTATACCTCTTTCGTTCTACGAAACGTTAATCTCAGCAACAATGAGTAAGGAAGTTAAATTGGACAGAATATTTCTCAATTGAAAGTGCTTGGTTCATAATTTTTTTAAGAGATAAATTCTATTATTTATCTTATTTTATATATTTTGTATGTTGCATTATAGTATAATTTTTAAATTCTATATAATAATTAAATCACAGTCGCTCAAAGTTAATATTCTAGAAAATGTTTCTTGTAAGTATATAAATAGAGCTATATACTCTTTTTCTCTCTCTCTCTCTCTCTCTCTCTCTCTCTCTTTCGTAATAATACTAAATAAATTTTAAGTATTGCTTTTATTATTCCGGAAAATTATTTCGGATTATAAGAAAGATTTATTTCATTATGTAATAAAATGCAATGTTTGTTTCTGGCGAATAATCGAAGATGTGACACAAACCGATGAACGCAGGTCGCCGGCACGATTCTATAACAAACGAGTCCTCTTGATAAAGTCAACCACCAATGAGTTAAATTTGGAATATATTACGCGGAACTGTGTGCATACACAATCGTGTGTTTGCATGAAAGTTCACGTACTTCGATATAATCGACTAGCTAGAATTAAATCAGGAAATTTCCATCAATTTTATCGTGTTTGCTCCATGAAATTTGGAAGAGTTTATTCGGCAAGCTATGCAAATTAATTTTCACATCTACAAACTTTCTCATCCATATTATTTGTATATCAATAAATCGACACGTTAATCATAATCGATAATCAGATAATTTTAAATGCGGTTTGTAAATACATTTTGAACACGATTAATAGATCTGCTAAACGGTTTATACTTGAGTATGCGTGGAACTAAATGTATAATTTTATTATTCTATAATTCTTCATATAATTATTTTGCAATACTTTAATTTTGTTGCAGCTAAAGAACGCCACCGCGGTTTTCATCATGAATCTCTCGATATCAGATTTGATGTTCTGCTGCTTTAATCTACCGCTCGCAACTTCCACATTCTGGCACAGTTCATGGTTGTACGGACCACTTCTCTGTCGATTGTTTCCGCTCTTGAGATACGGCCTCGTTGCAGTCAGCCTCTTCAGCGTTCTCGCAATCACGATCAATCGCTACATCATGATCGGCCATCCCGGTCTCTACCCTACGTAAGTGTGATCTCTTTCCTCTCTCGCTGCATAGATAAAATTTAATTTTTTATAATTATTTTAAACATTAATTTAAAACACTATATTTAAATTATTATTGCATAAAAGTTGATAAAATAAATAAATGGAGTTAAAAACATGTTATTAAATTTTTTAATTTTTTAATGGTCAAATATCATTTTTAGATTGTATAAAACGAGATATTTGATACCAATGGTCTTGACAATATGGATCGTCGCTTTTGGTCTGCTGATTGTCACATGGTTCGAGAAATTCGGACGTTTTGGTTTGGATCCTGTTATCGGATCCTGCTCGATCCTGCCGGATATAAACGGGCGGAGTCCAAAGGAATTTCTCTTCTTTCTCGCATTTCTAATACCCTGCCTCGCTATTATCGTTTGCTACGCTAGGATTTTCTATATCGTTCGTGAAACTGCTTCAAAGAGCAGGGGCAGAGATAAGACCAATGTGGAACCTACGGAAACCAGCCATGATGTAAGATCTAATTATTGATGTGAAAAGATTTAGTGTTAATACAAAAGAATTAATTAAATATATATATTAAAAACAAAAACATTAGAGAAATTGATTATTAGTGAAACATTAGTCAAAACACACATTTTTGAATATTGAAATTAAAATTAAATTATTGAATTTAAAAAATTAAATTAATTTAGCTTTACTTTTTTAATTTTTTTGTTCTAAACTGTAAAAATTTTATTTAATTTATTAAAATATAGTTGTGTCTTATACATCATACCGACGCTTGAATCTCGTTTTTGATCACAATCATTATTTTACAGCAACAGTCCATGAAGAACCAGGAGCAAGAGCTGTCTGTTCTTTGCGACCCCTCCTTATCGATGCGAGCAATTTTTCTCAATCCAGACGAAGAAATGGACCTCGAGCCATCGACATCTGTTAACGAAGATTCTTCCTGCTCTAAGCAGTCGATCCACGATCGACAAAAAACAGATTGCACGCCTAAATCGCATGTAGACAATCCAACGACGGTTATCAGCCTCGATCCAAACTTTAACAGCGACTACAACGCTCTTCACGTTGGCGCATCGGAGGACGTATCGTTCGTGGATGATTGCGAGAAATCGGATCTCACGGAAATGAAACTGTTTCTGAATAGAAATCAGAACGAATTGCAGCGAAAGTCGTTGAGAAACTCTTGCGGACGGCTGGAGAGACTGACCAGCCGAGCATCCTTCATCGTGGAATCGTCGCTGGCGCGACTCGCCAGCGGCGATCGTTCGGATCTACCGGAAATCCTCGTGGATTCGAGATCGGACTCGCCCGCAAAGAAGACATTTCGCAGGGAGTCAAAGTTCAAGAGCGTTGGCAGGATCCGCAACGGCGAACTCGTCGTCACACCCAGGATGTCCGCCAAGGATCGGAAGCTGCTGCAAATGATCCTTGTGATATTCGTGTCGTTCCTGGTTTGCTACCTACCGATCACCGTCACAAAGCTCTTTCCTGGCGCAATCGACTGGCGGGGTCTCAACATTGCTGGCTACATACTCATCTATTTGACAACCTGCATCAATCCCGTCATCTACGTCGTGATGAGTTCCGAGTACAGAAGCGCGTATAAATATGTCTTGCTGTGTAAGGGTGAGCAGATGGCGAGCAAGAGGAGACTGCCGGGTTTGCTGATGCTCAGTTGAACTCGTAAATTATATAAGTAACGGTAAACATAATAGATAAATAATGTGTATAATTTATGTTTGTTATATTATCTGTATGGTCAAAACACTTAGAAAACTCAGATTGTTGGCGTTCATCAATGTTTCTCTTCTCGTAATCATGAAGTATTATAATATCATCTTCGAGGATAGCTAATCGCTCTTTCAAATAGTTAAAATTATCAACTTATTATTAACACAAAGAATATAGATTTCTAACGTAGTTAAATCAATAAAAATAATTTTATTGATTTTGACATACAAATTAAATATAAAGTAGTAAGGATATAATTTATAATTAAATATAAAGTAGTAAAGAATTTATTTCATTGATGGCGTTTCTCTCTTCTCGCCATTTCTATTCGCTTTGCGTGTAGTTAGATGACAGTGATTATTATTAATATTTTTGCACCGGATATCTACTAACTAAAAAATGTAATTATATCTAAATGATTTCTTTACATTAAAAATGTTTATAATTTCTTGTATATCTCCTGTCAGCGGTACTAAGCCTTCTAATTTTTGCAGATTTTTATTGAACCGTAATATAGTATTAAATTATTGTTAAAAACCAAAATTTATAAATTACGTTTAAAAATTTTAATATTGCATATTTTATACAAATTTCTTAATATATTAAATAAAATTGACGTTTTTCTTTAGCAAGAACCGCGAATCATAGGTTAAGAACCGTTGATTTTTTTTGTATTATACATATAAGTGCATCTCTCACTAAAATATTTATATAGATATTTATAGATATTTAATATTTTATAGATATTTAATATTTTTTTACAACGAGGTAGTTAAATAATTAATTTCAGATATGTTATACATATAAGAAATGAGCCTATCTATACGATCCCTTTATCCATATACTTGAGTTTGATTTTCTTTAAGAAAAAATTACCTGTTATTATTTATCCATTATTTGATAAAGTGCTAAATGCAATTAATTTTAGAATAATATGCTTTCCATAATAGTTTCAGCCTTTTTCATTACATCATCAAAATCTAACGCTGCAATATTTAATGTCTTATTATTTTAATGAGAAGATTTAATTTTCTATTTTTTTCTCCCTATATCAGCTCTAATAGCTTTTTATCAATCGTCTCTTACCGTCTTTGAAAAAACCTATTCAATTTTATATATACGTATACATATAGTACATTTTTAATAATTCTACTTAAAAAAATATTTAGAGCTGAAGGGATTTTCTCGATGTTAATACTGATATTAGCCTCTCGCTAATAGTGTTCAATTTTTGTCGATATTAGCTGGCACCGTCGCCGCATGTATCGTACTGATGTTCATAGTAGGTGGCCAGCTCTTTTCCGCACTACTGCTATTGTTCTTGGGTGTGACCTTCGTGATTTCTAACTTGCCACTATTTTCGCGATTCTTGTAGTACAATCCACCGGCTGCGGCGCACATGCCTATTCCGCCAAGTACCATCAGCCATTTCAGAAAACTGCAAATCAAAATTTTAAGTTAGTATTTGATTTATTACATTGATAAATTCAGAAAAAAATTAAGAAAAGTTAAAAAATAATTACTATTTTCATATTTGTAATAATTATGCTGCGTTGATAAAGTTAAATAGATCACAAGCCACATTTAACTAAGCAAGAGCGCATTAGTTATCCATCAAATATAATTTTTCAAGAAACATTGCCGTAAACTCACTTGACAACTGCCGTCGCCTTGAACACCACCTTGACCTTGTTAACGAACTCGTCGTCGAGCAGTATTCCTTCTTCCACCCAAAATAGCGGCAGCAATGCTTCCGGGAAGTTCTTCATCAATTTAAATTTCGGAATCGGTTGTATGAACATGTTGAACTGCAATCGCTTATGCGCGCGTATCGGCGTAGCTGTCATCGGTTCGAAATCCATGTCCATTTCATGATCCTCCTGTCAATGGAAATTTAATAGGATTTAATCAACGACGATTCTACATTTTTCATATTTATCTATTTATGTAATGTTTCTTTTAACGATATATTTGCATTTTCTTTTTACATTTATGATTATGATTGATATTTACATATTCTTAACTATTGTCGATTGTACCTGATTCGGATGCAAGCCATCCACCAAATCCAACCAATTTTTCTCGCAATCGTAAAAGTGCGGAGGCGATCCGATGATAGGTGCACCTACACACTTCGTCATGTCATAGAGATTTCTCGTCAGGCAAGTGTCCGGTGTTGGGCAAAAACATTTTTCCATAGGATTCTTGCTCATATCTCCCAGATCTGCCGTGTAATGAAGAGTATTGACACCTACAAATTCAGAAATGCTATCAAGCGTGATAAGAAAAAAGTCGAATGATGATAAGAATGTATATTTGTTTCTGTTACTTTACTAATATTTTTTCCGCTTTTCAAGGAAAAAAAAAACTATAATAATAATAATACTAACGTTATAAAAAATTTATGAAAAATTGTTAAAAAGGCAATGAAATTATTTTTATTATGAAATTGTATTTATCTTGTTACTATAGTAATTTTATGTCTCAAAAGCTATAAACTTAATTCTAACTTTAGTGACACATGGGATTTTCAATTTACATTCAATATAATTTTTTGTACTCGTTCGACGAGATAATTTTTCTTTCTTTTTACTTGATGGTGCAAAAGGTTTACATACCTTTGACTTTGCTGTGATAACGATAATGCGCGCTGATACTTCGACAGATCTCATATCCGAACGAGACGATGTCGTCGTCTGGCCCGAATAGAGGTGGAAAGATCGTGGAATCGGTACCGTTGAAAGCATTGCAGTGATCCTCCGGCCAAATATCTAATGCAGGCTTACCATCCCATTCCAGAACGCGACCGACGTCCTTGAAATTTTTAACACCGCGCAGAACCTTCATACGCTGCGGTAAAGCGGTCCCGTTTTTCTAATAAAATTATTCAGTTAATTATTCAGTTAGTAATTAGTCATCAATACAACACGTGGTCAATTTTTATGATTTTCTCGTATTTTTCGCGTATGCATTTTTCGTAAGCGTAATATCTAATTACAATCTTACTTCTATTCAGAGTTGCGGCCAGATAATGACAGTTATTATTCCCATACGTGACTCGCTTCTTTTTCAACATACTATTAGACTGATAATTTATATTTAGTCATCAAGAAATGCCTCCAGGAAATCAAAAATAGCAAAAGAGTTGTATTAAAACAATAAGCAATAATAATATCCCACATATCTATCCGCACATATAAAGTATTATAGAACATGTATACATGTAAAAAATATATACCTACACAAAAAATATAACCGGATATTTCAAAAATAAATTATTTAAATCAATTGACACATGAGAAATTCTAATTAATTTGATTAAAAATAATTGTGACAAAAGAAAATGAATAAATATCTTTTTTTAAAGAAGACTCCTCTCGAATATGATTAAAATTTTAAATATAATTTCTATATCAACTAATCAAAGATTTTTTTTAGGATTGAGAGAAATCACTTACCCCGCCGAAGAGGGAGAACTTGTAACGATCTTCCCCGTCTGGCACCAGATCCTTCGCTTCCGTCTTCAATACGTTGCACACCGCCGAACCAGCGAAGTCCTTCACCGTGCAATCGACTGGCAGACCATTGAAAAGTATGTCCTTGGCTTTGGCTTTCACGAATAACGAAGCTGGCTTGTGGAAGATGCTGTCGACCGCTTTGCCTATGTTATTCAACACATTAATGAACGTTGTTAACGAATTCAATTAATTGATCGAATTGGATCGAGCCCAACAATTGTGTAACAATTTCTTTTCTCGCACTTCATCGGAACTAAAACCCTCTCTATTTTCATCAAAATCAAACTTAATCGTATATGAACCGCGAATAAGACAGCGATCAAGACGATAGAAATATAAGTGCACACTCTTGACAAAGTTACATATATGCATTATATAGAGACGTATCTTTCTCATGTCCCACTTTGAACCATCCGGCGTGCATTGTTATAGTCCGAGCCGACCGACCTACGCGATACGCGATACGCGGCCGATACGTAACTGCAATCAATACACGACATTGAAAAGAAATAATGATATGTATATACGTACCAACAACCGGCATCGCGGCAGGCTTATCTTTCAGAGTCATCATCGCCATGCTCAAAATCATGAGATGCGGAAACACCATGTCCTCTTCGCCCGTCAATCCGTTGCTCTTCTTGGGATTGAAGAACCACGTGGACTTCATGCTGTACTCGACGCTATCCTCGTCTTCCCGATCGATGAGGTCGAACTTCACCTTGTACTCGCTAAAATGGATATCCGAGTTTTTGAACATTTTGAAAAATAGATAGATTTATACAAAGATCAAAGATAAAAAAGATTCAATTATTACGAATCAAATTAAAATTTAAACCGATCGCAATAAGATTGAATATATAAAAAAAGAGATCGGAAAAGAAGAGCGTATAGAAATTGTTCGATAATTTTTAATAAGGGCAAATTAAATGACAGATTAATTTTTGACTTGCGCATTTATACGTATCCGTGATTGATTACAAGTTTTTAAATAATATTATGATCGTATAAGCGACTCACTCGTAAAAGAACGGTCCGACTTCTTGCACTATTGGCTTTTGACCCTGTGCAATTTCATCAGGGTTAGTTATGTTGAACATATAGATCTTAAAGTCCAGTGGCAGCGGGAAATTCGACCACATTTCGCGTATCTCGCTTCCTGGTTTCAGCGCGATAGCCTACGAACATTAAATCTCGTTAGTTTCATAATTACAAAGAAATAAAAATGAAATGGAATAAATGATTATGATGCTTCCATAGTTTAAGTAACTAAAAATTTTCATAATCTTGTAGCATAATTTTTATTTTTATTTTAATATACATATATGATTCAAGATTTTTTTTAAATAAAGCTATTTTACTGTCCGTAATTCGATAATCGATGTACAGATTTAGCGACATTAAATTTGAAATTTCGCAATTAAAAAAAAACCTATGTCCACGAAAATTGCGCAAATTATAGTCTTAACGTAACAGACACGAATATTTATGTCTATTAAATTTATGCTGTGGAAATCAAGTAAATATACGTGTAATATAAGTATAATATATGTGTAAATATAAGTATATTTGCTAGCTGTGATGATCGTGTGACCATCTTTGAAAATGTTTTCTTGTAAATACAATAAAAGAAATCATCACAATTTACCATTTTCGGGTCGGAGACTAGAATATGTAATTAAACACTGGAAGAATATGCTAGAGCAATAGCTACTGACAGCAGGGTTCAAGGATTTTGCGCTGTACACTTTCGCGGAATGACTTGATCATTTCAATATTCAGTAAAGTCGTAACAATTTCGATCAGGCTATAAAAATTTTTTTTAGATAAAACAAGTATACCAAGTATGAATACGACAACAATAAATTCAATAGATTACATTAAAGTTTGTTAAAATTATATATATTATATCGTGTGTAAATATTCATTTCAAAACTAGAGAATACTAAAATATGTTGACATATACCACAAAATATATTAATCCAAGAAAATAATCAAAGAAGATATTACATATAAAAGCAAGATATGTAAAAGAATGAACAATCTTTAGTGATATGTAATACTATAAAAACTTATTTTTATAGGAAAAAGTTAGAGTCTACGAAAATATTTTTTGATACATTCCTGAGTTAATTACACGAGTTACGCAAGAATAAAATTGTTGAATAAATGAAGATCAGATATTTTTCAACTACGCTAAAGATATTTTTAAAAAGCACTGAGAAGTGCTTTATTATTGTAATGGTATACACTATTTGACGCTTAATGAGCTGATATATCGAATGAGTAGTACTAATGCAAAATTAATTGTGGTAAATTGTATAAATGTGATAAATTTGTAATTTGTTTACCTTTTTGATCTGCGATCTAATTAACGAGGGAAATCCACACCATGTTATAATGCCGAAAACAAACATAACTCCACCGCCGATTGCAAGTTTCTTTATAGACACCATTTTAACACTCTGTGAATGTGGAAATATCGAGTAATATTTAAGCATAAACGCACGATCGAATTTAGATAGATATTTTGAACGAATAAGCAATTTAAATAATCGTAATTTATTCAAAATTAAAGCTACAAACTAAATCTCTGTTGTTATAATAATGACATATTATCGTATATCTGTCGGAAATTAATATCAATCAATCACGACCTATCGCGTTATTTAACTACGAATGTAATAACAATATTTTATAAAATACCAATCAAAACCAATTGTCAATAATTTAGTTTCAACCTAAAAAATAATCGCGCTCATAATTTAATTTTCTCTGAATTCCATTCTTGCGGATTGACGAGAGTCGAAAGTCATTTCTGCAACATTAAATCAACATTAATACGATTGAAACCTTATTATATGCTTCAAGAACACGAAGCACTTTGCTCAAGACTTTGCCGAAAAACGGAAACACATATAGCAAATGAAAACGCCTCATAACATCGTATATCCTCCGAAGGGTGCGAACGGTGACATCAAGCGTACGTTTCTTGGAAACCATGAATCTCTGATTTTGTGTACTCTGGTCGATTTCACATTAATTTTAATCTAAAATTAGCACCCTTTTCTTACTGCACTGATAAAAGAAAAATTTAAGGTCGTTCGTCTCGTGTATAATTTTTAAAATTGATTTCTTTACAAAAAATTCTGTCTATGTATGTATGTGTATAAAATCAAATGCAATATATATTATAATACGTGAATAAATTATTGTTAATTATATTAATGATAATATATCATTAAATATAACATTAAAAAAATGTAATTTACAAAAAATATAATTTCCACAAAAAATATTATTAAATTTAGTTGAAGAATAAAAAATAGAATATTATAGAAAAAAAAAAAATAAAATAAGATACGAAACACTAGAGAAATTTTTGCGAAAGTTAAAACTTTATTGATATCGATAGTGAGAAAATATCAAGTTATGGTCTGAAAATGATAAAACTGACACTATCAGAGAAATAAATTAAAGAGTAATTTTTTACACTTTTTGAGTTTAAATATAATTATGATAAAAATCAAGAGAGAGATGCTTGAGAAAAATTCGTTCTATGCGATCTGAATCGTCTTCGTCTCTTCTGTTGAGTCTATTTTTATGTTCGTAGTCCAAATAAGTGAATTAAACACAATCTTTTTTCTTCAATATCCGTATTCAGCATACATTTCAGTATTTAATATCATCATCGGTATTCAGCTTTAGTATAATTATTTGATTTCTCGTATAATCTCTTTCGTCGATTTTTCGCAAAAAATATTGTTTCGCGCAAAATTTATTTTTGTCTCGTCGTTTGATCCATAAAAAGAAACAGTCAACGTATGTGCAAAAATAAAAATTCCGATTGCTCAAATCCTTAATCACTCCTTTCCTTTCCACAGATTACTCTCGTTCGTTTATCCACGGTTAAAATTCCATAGGTAGAGATATCTCTATTGCCAGAACCACGTAAGGAAACGAGTTCACGGATCGCGACGCGAGATGCGAAAGCCTCGACCTTCCCCGTGTGGTACCGTCTTCGCACCTGTTCGGTCTCCTGGCCAATTTCTTCACGCCACCCTCGTCGTCGACGTCGCCGTTGATCGTGCGCGGCTTGTCGCGAACGAACTGTCTGGGCGATAATGACGGCGACGTCTTACAACAGGCCGGCGTCGGCGTACTCCTGCCTGCTCCCCGGCCCCATTGCAAACTTCTTAGCTTTCCTTACTTAAACGACGCGGCATCTCGAGCACAGCGGGATACAACTTTATTCTACTTCGTACGCGATGCGATCGAAGGCGTGGAATTTACTCGCTGACTCGCAAAGTCGTGCGTGATTCAGTCATGCTAGAGACCCTCCAATGAAAGTCACGAAATAACACTCTAACTAAACTGTCCGATGCATGCACAAACAGCTATATGATGACTCTCAATTCTCTTCTTCTAGGCAGTTTATTTGGAGAAAAAGACGGAATAATGCACTATCATATTCTATAAGAATGAGATAAAATTAAAAACTAATCTCGCGAAGATACATTGGTTTTATTTTAATTTTCACATTTTTAATGTAATATATGTTCACATTATGTATCTCTTTCCAAAATCTTTTACAAAGAGATGTTAGAATCTAAGATTTATCTCAGAGCAAGCTACTATATACTGAAATAATTAGAATAATAATATTAATTAGAAAAATTAATTATGCAAGATTAATTAGAACAAAAAATGCATTATTTCGTAACTTTCGTTGAAGGATTTTTAAATTACGTAAGCTTTTTTCTCGTGCAATTCTTATGGCTATAGACAGATTATCTAAAACAGTCTTAAAATTATGTCAAGATCATAAAAACTGCAATTATTGAAATTTTTCCTATTTTTATTTAATTTTGTTAAATATATAGCTCTTTGTGGTAAATATACCACGCGTGTTACTTGGAAATATATATAATTTGCAATAATATGGCATCTTAATAATAGCTATGCTATAAGTGCAATCTATGTATATAGATGATCTTATTAGAATTTAATGGTTTAATAAAATAATTTATATTTAATACTAATGTTAATTACTTCTCGATCGATTAGACATTGCACTTTTTACGAAGTCTACATAAGCATACTAACAAGCAATGGTTGTAATTACTAGCAATTACTATTAATAATTACTAGATACAATTATAGCCATTCATCTGTTGATACATATGTTATAAGCGTCGATAATTTTGTGCTACTGATGTAACCTAGAAAAAATTGATCAATCGAGAAATAACAACAATTAAGATTAAAAAATATAATATTATTCTAAAGTCTAATATATCACTCATTGTTAGTAATAATATTTCAAGAGAGAGAAGAGAAATAATAT